AATTTTCAGTGCCAGTTTGGGAGGAGACATAAGGTGTCGAAAGTGATATTAGCGTGGTCACTGCAATTGCTGAAGAAGATATGGCTGTCATAGGGCTCCTTGTTATACAAAGCTAGTCTCCTTTGGATTAAATATTACCCTAGCTATGGGAGAAGGATGTTATGTCTACCAAGAACATAGTAAAGTGGTTTTAGAAGAGGCTCTTTCTTCCCCCACTTGACCTCTGGTTTGAACTATTCTTTTCTGGTGTTCTTCTATACGTTCTTTTATGCCACAAATATGTGTCGAACACCTACTGTCAGCGGGGCACTGTTTTAGGCACTGAGGATTCAACAGAGAAATCCTCACCCTCTTGAAATCTACATTCTAGTGAGGAAAGACAGTAAACAAAGTAAATAAACATTAAAATATATCATATAGTAATAAAAATAAAAAATATGTAGTATAGTAATTAAGTACTATTGGGGAAAAAGAAAGCAAGGGAAGGAAAGAGGGAGGGTGAGTTCTAGCTTTCTTAGCAGTTATCAAGGTTTGGACTGTAACCAGCTGTGTGTCCACTGCTGCACTGGGCCCATTGTGATCTGATTGTTCCAGCTCCACCTGACGAACACTAGAGTGTCTTCAGCTTCCTCTCTCCCCTTTGTATGCTCCATACTTATTCTTGCCTTCATGCCTTTTTAAAAGGCTGATCTTCAATGCTTTCCAATGAAGCCTTCTTTGACAATGCTAGCCTCTGCTAACCTATCTCCTGGGGACCTGAGGGGACCACTGTATGAGAAAAGAAGTGTTTCCATTCAGGTTAATAGGTGATTAATTTTTTTTTGTTGTTTCATATGTGTTTGCTGTACTTGCAAGCAAAGCACTCTTGATGGTAGGCTCATCGGAGGAAATATAAAAGATGAGATATGGTGCCTATCTTCAGAGAATTTAAAATATAATGGAAGAGAGAAAATGCTCTCCCTGTGGTGAGAAGACCTTGGAAAGAGAGCTTGTATAAAATCAGATACTTCATGGTATGATATAGCAAGTGACTTTCAGATATTTTTGCTGTTATTGTTCATTTGTCTGCACCCACAATGAGAAACGGACTTTACATCATGACTCAG